AAGCTCCCCGAAGACTTGAAGGCTGGCATCACCAAAGCCCTCCGCGCCTACTCCATTGTTTTTGCATGGGGGCCGGAGGATATGCCGGGAATTGACCGAAGGGTTATCACCCACCGCCTGGCGGTAGACCCTTCGGCCAAACCAGTGCAACAGCGGAGAAGACCCCTCTCGGCCGAGAGAAGGGAGTTCGTCAAGAAGGAGGTATCTATGCTCCTCTCCATCAAGCACATCAAAGAGGTGAAATACCCTTCTTGGCTGGCAAACGTAGTCCTCGCACAGAAGCCTCCTACCTTCCGCATGTGCGTGGACTACACGGATCTGAATAAGGCGTGCCCTATGGACCCCTTCCCTCTGCCGAACATCGATCAACTTGTGGATGAGACCGCGGGATGCGAGATTATGTCCTTCCTCGACGCGTTCCGCGGGTATCATCAAATCTACATGCATGAGGAAGACGCTGAAAAAACTGCCTTCATGACACCCGAAGGCATCTTCTGCTATCTTGTGATGGCCTTCGGCCTCAAAAATTCAGGCGCCACCTACACACGCATGGTGGCTAGGGTCTTTCAAGCTGTCCTGGGACGCACCATGGAGGCTTACGTTGACGATATGATCGTCAAAAGTAAGAAGGCAAGCACTCACGCCGACGACCTCCGGGAGATTTTTGCCATCATGCAAAAATTCAACCTCCGGCTAAATCCAAAGAAATGCACCTTCGGCGTGCAGGGAGGAAAATTCTTGGGCTACATGGTCAGCCGAAGGGGTATTGAGGCCAACCCCGAGAAAATTCAGGCCATCATCAATATGGAGCCTCCGCGCAACGTCAAAGAAGTTCAACGGTTGACAGGTCGCCTGGCGGCCCTCAACCGATTCCTCTCTAAGTCAGCCGAGAGGGCCCTCCCATTCTTCCAAATCATGAGGAAGACAGCTGGCTTCCAATGGACATCTGAGTGTCAAGAGGCCTTCGACGAACTTAAGAAGTACCTCTCTTCTCCCCCGGTGCTCTCCAAACCGAAGGTGGGGGGAGACCTTATACTTGTATCTCGGTGTTAGCCCTGCGGCAATCAGCTCGGTACTAATCCGAGAGGAAGACGGCGTCCAACACGCCATCTTCTACGTCAGCAAAACCCTCCGGGAGGCCGAACTCAGGTATTCTCCCGTCGAGAAGACGGTGCTAGCCATCGTTTGGACCGTCAAGAAGCTTGGCCACTACTTTCAAGCTCATCCGGTCCAAGTGCTCACTCATCAACCCCTCGGCGCCCTCATGAGGAGTCCCACTAGCTCCTCCCGGATGGTGAAATGGGCCATCTTCCTCAGCCAATACAACATAGATATCCGTCCGAGGCCTGCCATTAAGGGCCAAGCCCTGGCAGACTTCGTAACGGAATGCACCGCGAGGTCAGCGGTGGATGAGGAGCCTTCGGCACCCCTTGATGAGTGGTGGACCCTCTACACCGATGGCTCCTCAGCCACCAAAGCATGCGGAGGGGGAGTGGTCCTGATCACACCCGAAGGCTTCCGCGCCTATTACGCCATCCGATTCTCCTTCAAAGTCTCCAACAACGAAGCCGAGTACGAAGCCCTCCTCTGTGGCCTTCGGCTGGCAGCAAATCTGAAGGCTAAGATGATCCACGTCAAGTGTGACTCCAAACTTGTTGTGGGTCAAATTTCCGGGGAGTACGAAGCCAAAGAAGGGAGGATGAAACAATACAAAGAAGCGGCTAAAGAGTTGCTCAAGGTGTTTGAGGCGCATTCTCTCACCCAAATACCGAGGGCTCAAAACTCCGAGGCCGACATTCTATCCAAGCTCTCGGATGAATCCCCCGAGCACCTCTCGAAGATTGCAAGAATTGAGGAGCTCAGCCTCTCAAGTATCCACGCAAGCCCCGTCATGAGCATTAACCTAAGGCCAGAAGATTGGATCTCCGACATCGTCGCCTTCATCACCACAGGGCAACTACCCCAAGACGAAGCCCGCGCAAAACTAACAAAGCTGAGGGCTCCCAGCTACACCCTCGACAATGGGAGGCTCTACAAAAGATCTTACAACGGCACCCTCCTTCGGTGCCTTCATCAGGACGAGGCCGAAGTCGCCATGGAGGAAGTGCACAGTGGCACTTGCTCAGCTCACCAGGGACCCTTCTCCATGTCCCGAAGGCTCATAGTTCAGGGCTACTTCTGGCCCACGATGGCTAGAGATTGTGCTGATCTAGCCCGAAGATGCACCGCTTGCCAACACTTTCAGAAGGCCCCCGGCAGGCCAGCGGTCAACTATGCCCCCATCAGCACCGCTATCCCCTTCTCCAGATGGGGGATTGATTTAGTGGGCCCTCTGCCGAGGGGTACCTCCAACAACCGATACATCATTGTGGCCATTGACTACTTCACCAAGTGGGTAGAGGCCGAACCCCTCGCCAGCATCACGGAGGCCCGGTGCCGTCACTTTGTCCTCAAGAACATTCTCACAAGGTTTGGCGTCCCCCAACAAATCATCTCCGACAACGGGACCCAATTCGAGGCAGCCCCCTTCTGTGCCCTCCTTGAAGCTTGGGGCATCAAGCACACATTCTCTTCCGTTGCCTACCCTCAGGGCAACGGACAAGTAGAAAATGCCAACCGCACCCTCCTCGAAGGGTTGAAGAAGAAGCTGGAAGCCGAAGGGGGAGGATGGGTAGAAGAGCTACACAACATCTTATGGGCCTACCGCACCACCCCTCGGCGCGCAACAGGCGAAACACCATTCTCCCTATGCTATGGCTTTCAGGCTAAGGCTCCAACAGAAGTGACTCTTCCCACCCGAAGGGTGGACCAATATGATCCCGAGGTCAACGACGCCAACATGGCCCTCGACCTTCATCTCATCTCAGAACGCCGAGAGCAAGCTTTCCTCAGGGCCGAAAACTATAGAAGACAAGTCAAGGGCTACATCGACGCCAAGGTCCGCTCCCGGGAATTTCAGGTAGGTGACTACGTCCTCCGACGAAGGGAGGCCAGTCTACCCACCGAAGGAGGGAAGATGGCACCCAAGTTTGAAGGCCCTTATATTGTCTCAGCCATCATCAAACCGGGGACATACAAATTAAAACGTCCTAATGGGACAGAGATTCCTAGACATTGGAATGTGCACCACCTGGTAAAGTTTTATCAATGAGCGGCCAAGCCCTCATCCTCAACAAGTGTAAATATCAATGGCCCAAGGCCCCATCTGTTTTTGAAGAATAATCGAAAGGCCAAGCCTTCATCACATACATATTGTACAAGCGGCCCAAGGCCCCCTTTTCTCTCCTACAAATGAGTGGCCAAGCCCTCATCTCTTCACCAAAATAGGCCCGAGGCCTCTTCCTCTCAGGAAGGGGAACAACAATTTAGGTACCAAGTACCAAGTGTATGGGTCACCCCCATCACTCTTTGAAAACACCAAGTGTTTTCTCACTAAGCCGTACCCCACGAGGACGCAACCATGCATACATTATGCATACTTTTACATACTCTCATAAAAAAAAAAAAAAAAAAAAAAAAAAAAAAAAAAAAAAAAAAACCGGGAGTTGCAATACCCCTCGGCTCCGGCTGGTACCAAGTACCCCCGGCTATTTGTGTCCCACACACAAATAAAACCCTTCCCAGGAACGCTTTCCGCGCCATCCCCCAAGGGGAGGCAGGCAACGGACCATGTCCCGGGCCCAGGATTCGACTTCCACAAACGAAACGCTCCCCGCGCTATCCCCCAAGGGGAAGCAGGCAACAGACCATGTCTCGGGCTGAGGGGACGACTTTCAAAACCGAGGCGCTTTCCGCGCTATCTCCCAAGGGGAAGCAGGCAACAGACGATGTCTCGGGCCGAGGAAACGACCCTCAAACCCTTCGGGATATCGGAAGGTCATTCCCGAAGGGGGAGCCAACGGTTTGTTCCGTTGCCTCCCATATAGGCCAAGCCTTTCCTAGACACCAAGTTTCTAGATGCCTCTCCTACACCATCTAAAAAAAAAAAAAAAAAAAAAAAAAAAAAAAAAAAAAAAAAAGATGTGTAGGGGGGAAGGAACTCCCCGGATACTATTCTCCCCGGAGGCTCAACACTTCGGATATACATTGCCGAAAGCTGCTACAAATGCACAAGAAAATCTCTCAACATCGAGTCATCTGGCTACATAGCCGAAAGCTTCACTACATAAAGCCTTGGAGTACAACGGTTTCCCCGGAAGCCCAAGAAGAGAGCTCACTAAGCAAAACTTCACCTAAATTTGGCTAAGGCCGAATTTAGGTTGGATCAAAGTCAACTATGTGACATACCGAAGGCTCCATAGAGTTCTAAGGCAAGCTAAATCTATACCTACACAAACCGGAGGGTTCATACCGACGAAGGCGGAATACTACCAAACTCACTCAATGATGACAATTTGGTACCCTTCGAATGAGACTCATCAACCGAAGGGTCACTCTATGGGAGACACATCTCAGAATTCCACTAAGTCCATAATCTTGAACCCCTCGGCAACCATATACACCGGGGGCCCAAGCGACTCTTACGCCCGAAGGTCCACTACAACACCTATTGAAATTTTGTGGAAAAAACGACTAAGTCCACAAATGTGGACCCTTCAGGAAGGTAATTCTTCACCTACAGACTCATGACCGATGGCCCCCTAATCTACTTGGCAATGACCTAAAACTACACTACAGTCGAAGGCTCGCCACTATCGAGGGCGTAGTCACCGAGGACATGATCTAAGTTCTTACTCAGAAAATTTTCTGAGTCCACAACAACAACCCCGGCTATTCTACTCTACACCCGGAGAGTCCTAATCAAATTTTACTTGGAAAACCTTCTAAGTCCACAAGCAACGACCCCCCGGTAGTCCTACTTTACAGCCGAAGGGTCCTGGTCTGGTCTCACTTAGAAAATTTTCTAAGTCCACAAACTTTTGGCCTTCGGGAAACCAGGCCAGGGAAAGGAGAACATACATTCATTCATACACAAACACAAAGAGGAACAGGGGCATACATTCAAGTTCAAGATGAAGGAAACATTCATTCACAAAAGCCCGGAGGCACAATCATTCATCAACAAGAACATTTTAAAGTGCAAAAGATGTTTGTTTACAAGGCATGGCCGAAGCCGAAAACCTATGAACTATTACAGGAGTTTATACTTGAGGAAATTCTAAGTTCATGCATCCTTGGCGGCATCTTCCTTCGGCCTCGAGGTCGCATCGTCTTCGGCTCCTTCGTCATCGCCCTCGCCCATCAGCTCAGAATCTTCTAGATCTGGCCTCTCTACGCCCTCGGGGAGTGGAGCTCTTACGTCCGGTTGCAGGGGGGGAAGACCATAGATTGCAGGGTCAAAATCCTTCGGCTCAGTTTTGAAGTGCCTGGCTAGCCTCCTGTATATGAGGTTTTGAGTAAAGAACTCGCCGCCATCATAATAATCTTTGCCCTTCTGGGCAAGCCACATGGCACCCGGACCCTTCGTCCATTCGTCCACCGAGGCCTCCACCACTGACTCCACCCATGCCCTTCGATCTTCCGCCTTCCACCCATCAGCAACGAAGGCATCGACGGCATTCTTCTCAGCCTCGGCAACAGCTTCCTTCTTGGCTGCCTCGGCCTCCTCGGCGGCAACCTTGGCGGCTTCAGCAGCGGCCCTCTCTGCGTCAGCCTTCCCCTCGGCTCTGGCAATCACTTTATTATTTTCGAGGATGCCGTTGAATGCCATCTTCTCCAGCCGGAGGGTCTCTTGGGCCTCCTGGAGTTGCCGCCGGGATTCCACCAGCGCCTCGTCGGCCTGCAGCTTCTGCACCTGGTAGCTCTCCATCCTCTGGAGCAATTCTCCGAGACCGAGGGCAGCCTGAGAATCAAAACCATCAAATAGCAAGGGTTAAGTTATCAAGATAAAGATATGTCAAAGACAACTCAGAGAAAAAGGAGAAGGAAAAGACTTACGGTGACGGAGGCCTGAAGCACTTTTGCGCTGAGGGCGTCATCCTTGGCCCTCGACAGCACCGACTTGTCAGTCGGGGGCGTGGCACCCTTTAGGAACTCCCTCGGGTTGAGGGTGCCATGCATGATGGCAGTTCCCTTGGTGATAGAAAACTGCACATCATCCCGGGGCCAGGCCAGGCTGTTATCTTGGCCCCCGGGGGGAGGGAGGACATTTCCCGAAGGGGAGGAGGAAGAGTGCTCTTCAACAATGACAACGGGGGCGTCCGTCTTCTCGGGGGCCCCCTTCTTCTTCTTCTTCTTCTCCGGAGGCATCACGCCCTTGCCGGAGTTTTTCCTCTTTTGCTCCGCCTTGGAGCCCCCGGCGCCAGCACCGGTATCAACAGCTTGAGAGGGTCCCTCACCCTCCGGGACCTGAACAGCCCCATCCTTCCGGAAGAAATCATCGACGGGTTTCTGAACCCCCGTCTCCTTCTTCTTCTTCGGCTCCTTGGCCAGCTTCTTCTTCAACGCAGCAAAGTTGGAGACATCCATGTTGATACCTGCAAAAAAGTCAGACCGGAGGGGTCAATTACAAAAGAAGAAAAATAAGAACATGCAAATATCCTAAGTACAATAAAGCAGACCCTTCGGCAACTACCTCCAGTGCTACCGAAGGCTCTCTCGAGGACAGGGTACTGTTCGTCCTTTTCACCCAGGAAACGATACCGCCGGAAGCCGAGGGCCAGCAAATCCTCTGGGAGAGTCGAGTCTTTGACGGTCACGTGCTTTGTGGCCCCCGGCAGCAGAGCAGCAATCTTCTTCCCCTCCCTCTGAAGTACGGCATTTCCAACCTTCGGGTGCCGACGGAAATGGTTGCGCAATTCCCTCGGGAACGGATTTTCCGCCATCTTGATGTAGCAAAAGCGGTCCTTCCATCCTTTGTGGGACGAAGGCACGTCATCAAACAGCCTCCAGGGAGCGAGCTGTTGCAGATTAGCAAACCCCTCGGAGTTGGTATGGCCCCCTCGGCACAGGTTGAAGCTTTGAAAGAACAAGTCCAGGGTCGCGGTTACCCCCCGAGCCCGGCAAAGCTGAAGGAAGCCAGTTATGTAAGAATGGCTGTTGGGGGTTAGCTGGCAGGGGGCTAACCCCACGTACCTAAGGTACTCGAGAAGGAACGGGTGCAGCGGGAACCGGAGGCCCATGGCAACCGACAGCACATGGACCGCGAAACAACCCTCCGGAGCCCGCAACAGGAGATCATCGGGTCCCGGTTCAATTACAGTCGCCGAAGGGCCGACATGCAACTGCGTGACATAGCATTCTGCTCGATCAGCCTTCGATCTCAGCGCGAGGGCGGCAGTATTCAGCCATGAATGCCCCTCGGGAATTCCAACAGGCTTCCCGCAGTCAACGGCGGTTTGCTTGCCTTTCGGTGGAGCCTTCGTCTTCTTCCTCTTCTTCCCTACTGCAACACTGAGGGGCTCCGGGTCTAATGGCCGGGAGGTGCTCGCCTCGCCAGAACCGCGAAGGGGGAGGACGGCGACAGTAACTTCTTGCCTCTCCTTCTCCTCCTCTTCTTCCGCTACCTGCAGCGCGAGGGCCATTTCTTCGTCAGCGGCGACTTGTTCAAATTCTTCAGCCTCCAGCTCAACTCGAAGGTTGCTTTGTACCTCCTCGGCCACAGCGAGGTCATTATCGGTCGAAGACTGCTCGCTCGAGGGCTCTGTATCAGAAATGCTCTCCGCTGCAACCGAAGGCTCCCTCGAATGGTTCTGCGAATCGCTTGCCGATGACATCCTTCGGAATCGAGAGAGCAGAAGTATGGAAGGGGGAGGAGATAAGGACACTAGGGGCTCCCTAGAGAAGCTCTAACACTCGATCTAAGAATAATAAGGCAAAATATGCTGGAAGAGCCGGAAAACGGTGAAGAACTGACCTCGAAAACTTGGGGTTTGATCAAGCAAGACTTTCTCTCTCTAGGAAAATTTTGCCAGAGCTTCGCTTCACAACAAAACGCGCAAGAAAAATGAGGTCTGCCTTGGGGTATATATAGGCTCTGGGCCTCGAAGATTGGGCCTCGATTTGAAAAGCCCATCATTACGGGCCGCCGATTCAGCCAATGGGTGACCCCCGCCCGCCGTCAGCCAACGAAGACACGCCACGTCAACCCCTCTCCCAACGGCTATATTACAACGACTATATTTCACAAACACCAGAGTTCCCTCGAATGATGGCCCCCGGCCATCACCCACCGCGGCCCTCAGCCAATGAATTCCAACATGGCGCCATCAAGCTGGCAGCCATAAGAGCCTTCGCTTGTCAATGTTGCCACTCCTCGACGCATGTATTGGATGGCAGACCTCGGCTACCACCTACGAGAGGCTTCGATCAGATAATAGTGTAAGCTTTCGGCTAACCCCTCGGGGAACCCAACAACACATTATAACTCCTTCAGCCCGAACTCGCCTTCGGCCTAAAGGAGTGGGGGACTGAGACACACCCCTCGGGAATCACACTCTTCAGCGGAAATGAAGCAGCCCTCATCACAACACGATACATTTATGCTTTCCCCAGAAAACCCTCGACATGTGAGGGACTAAGGGGAGCCCCCAGCGAACATGCGAAGGTTATGAATACCTTCCCTCAGAAAACCCTCGACATGTGAGGGACTGGGGGAAGCCTTCGGCAATCAGCAGAAAACAAGTTCCCCAGCAAAGGCACCCAGCGAGATGATGAAGCCTCCAGAAGAATCAACACATCTACTCCTTTTCCCTCAAGTACCTTTCGGCAAAAGGAGTGAGGGACTCCTGATGGAGTATATGGCCCAGGAACCCCCAGTCCCTGGGCTCCTACTTCTCCTACACAAGTCCATTGAGCCCAGGGGACATCTCAGGCCCAAATACAACGGCCCAAGCTTCAAAGTAGCCCAGAATACACACTGGGGTGCCTTCGGCCTCCTTGGCCGAAGGCTCCGAAACTCACAGGATAGCCTTCTCTGGCATAAGAAGCTGCTGGGAGAAAACGGGCGAAGACATGAGCCTTCGGCATTCCCATGCCCTCGGCACCAGGGGAAGCCTTCGGCTGAACCAAGCCTTCGGCCACACCAGGAAGCCCTCGGCTGCACAAAGAGCCCTCGGCTACACAAGGAGCCTTCGGTAGTGGTGAGCTCAATCATCAAAGATTCCTTTTGGAGACAGCCAACCACCGCATTTAATGCCACGTCACATCCGCCAACCGCATTCAATGCGGTTGACGTACCACTGCCAGCACCACTAGGCTGATGTGACCCTTCGGCCGTTGGATTACTGACACGTGTCCCCTCATCGCATTTATTGCTGCTATAAATAGCAGCCTATTTCTCCTTGTAATGGACACAATCTACATCCCAACTCCACATCTCGAGTTCATTTAATAAAATCGACTCTCTCTCCTCCTATTTTGCTCTGACTTCTCTCTAAGTTATTCCCGCAATAACCCCTCGGATAAGATACCCCCCGGGTAGACTATCCATCAATAGGTTTTGTAGATGCTCGTCGGACATCATCATATCATCTCTCCGTTGGTAATCCGTTTCAAAATCATCTCGACTTTGAAAAGAAGACTCGGCCCGCGCTTTACCTTTGCCTTTGCGTGAATTAGGACGAGTCGACGCAATCTCCCTCTTGCGGTTGCGTTGGAGATTACCCACATCTACAGAATGTCTACTACGTTCCATCTTTAAAATTGAACAAATATTAAATGATATCAAATATTTTATATGAGTACAATAGTAATAATAAAATGTGACTAAGAAAACTATTGCGAATTCGAACTAAAATATGAGTATACAAATCGAACTACTTCTAATTAATACTTTAATGAGAAATGTATCAATTAACTAAATATTAACTAGTTTGACTAATATAAATATGAGAAATGTAAAAATTAACTAGTTTTTTTTTTTTACTTTAATGAGCAATGTACAAATCAACTAATATTAATATGAGAAATGTAACAATTAGGTAGTTTAACTAATATTAATATGACAATTTTAACAATTAACTAATTTAGGTAGTTTTTAAAATGACAAATGTAAAAATTTACTAGTTATTTTTACCTTAATGAGAAATGTATACTTTAACTAATATTAATATGACAAATGAAAAAATGTACTACTTTTTTTACTTTAATGAGAAATGTAGCAAGTAACTAATATTAATATGAAAAATGTACCAATTAAGTAGTTTAACTAATATTATTATGACAAATGTAAAACTTAACTAGTTTTTTTTTTTTTACTTTAATGAGCAATGTATGAAATAACTAATTTTAATATGACAAATGAAACAATTAAGTACTTTAACTAATTGAAATATGACAAATGTAAAAATATACTACTTTAACTATGTTTTTCTTTAAAGAGAAATGTAGAGAAATGTAACAATTAACTAATTTAATAGATAAATTAGAAGTCTAACAATTAACTACTATTATAAGTAATATATAATATAATGTTTATAGTATATAATATATAAGTATATTACTATAAGATGAGTAATACACTTATACTTAATACTTTAATATATATATATATATATATATATATATATATATATATATATATATATAAGTATATATTAACTAAATGTAATATGTAAATATAAGTAAATAACAATAGTATGTATAAAAACTAAATATCAAATAAATATGAATGTGTATAAGTATATATAGTATATATAATGTTTATAGTATATAATATATAAGTATATTACTATAAGATGAGTAATACACTTATACTTAATACTTTAATATATATATATATATATATATATATATAAGTATATATTAACTAAATGTAATATGTAAATATAAGTAAATAACAATAGTATGGATAATAACTAAATATCAAGTGAATATGAATGTGTATAGTATATATACTTATATAGTATATATAATGTGTAAAGAATTATAATATGAATGTGTATAAGTATATATTTTTAAATAGATAATTAATATATAAGTAGATATAATAATTATATAAATTATATATATGTAGAAAGAATTTGGAGAAGATGAAGAATGAAGATGATTGAATATGAGAGATTTAGAGTAGAGAATTAGAGAGTAGGAAGAGTTGTAGAAGAAGAGATGTAAAAAATGTAGAGAAAATAGGAGTTTAAATAGATTTTTTTTGATACCCCACCCCCACCCCCCACCCGACCCCCCCACCCCACCCCCCTAACCCCCCAGACCCCCCCCTCCCATGCTCCCAACGGCTATAGAGCCGTTTGGGAGCCTTCCCAACGGCTAGGAGAGCCTCTTCCAATTTAAAAAAAAAAAAATTTTTTTTTTAAAATCTGGCCGTTGGAGGCCCGAACCGGGCCCGGCCCGGCCGGGCCGGTTCATTAAAATGGAGGCCCGGGCCCGGACCACTATACAACCGGGCCGGGTGGCCCGAACCGGTCAAGAACCGGGTGACCGGGCCGGTCCGGGCCCGCACAGTAGCGGGCCGGTCCGGTTCCGGGCCGGTTGGCCCGGCCCGAGTCCACCCCTACTCACTAGGTATCACAAAACGACTTATTTAAAAAAAAAGTATCACAATTCACAAAACGACTACCCAAAGAGATTGTATCACTCACTATGTTATAAGTGATTGAAAAGTAAAAGTTGTAGTTGAAATTTGAGTAGAATAAAATGCAATAATAATGACCACATATTTCTTACCAAAAGAGAAAACAAGACATTCATTTTGGGACAATCCAAGAAAAGCAGGACAACCAAAATGAGACGGAAAGAGTAATTCTGATTCTACTTTTAAAAAGAATCGAAGATAGAATCAATTACAAACACTCTAACTATTAGAGTAACCTCTGGTTACCATCAGACATGAAAATGAAGTAATACAGGGTGACTTGAGTTTCTTAGATGCTCTTACCTTAATAGCAACAATAATAGAGGGTATTCTATTTATGTCCTAAATAAGGTATTGTTGCATATGACATAGAATAAATTAAAATGATATACGGAGTATGTATTTTCCAACAAAGCCATCAGGATGATCTTACATTCGAATAATCTCACTTTAACTACTAAAGTCTAATCTTTGTACTATCACATATTCACATTACCTACTAAAGGTATTACATGATCTAATACAATCTTACAAATATTTGGTGAGCCACACGCCCTAACCCTAACGAACTTACCACCTGGGATTCTGTGCGAATTCCGAACAAGCGGCGGAAGATGCGAGTTTTCGCTGCCCTAGACAAATTCAATTCAAAAGCTAGAAACTTTTATTATATTCCTAATTTAGACACAGTAATCTTTAATTTCACTGTGTCAAACCTAGATTCATCCTGTTAAAGACAATCAAGATTCTCCATATAAGCAAACAAAGCATGCAACTTACCAGCAACAACATTCCATCTTTTCAATAATAGAAGGCAATTCAATTCAAATTTAAAGTTACATTGTACAGATGCCTGGTTCCAGCAGCAGCAGATGGGCAATTGCGGGTAAAATTACTAAATCAGACCATAAAAGTATATATTATTATTCCTAAAAGCTAAACATGTTCATGTTGTATGACTTACAAGGGTAATGCAACTGAACAAAAGGCGGACGGCACATACATCTTCACCATGTCAGGGTGCAATCTTCTTGCACAAAGAAAACATCAAAACTCAAGCTTCTTGCACAACCCCTTCTCAATGTTTATGATTTTTCTGGTAGCCTTCTTGGGAGCACCCGGACAACTGTCAGTAATTCCGCTTATAGCAGGTGCACCAGTAGGTGTCCTGTCACCATCAGAATCATACTGCGGATTTGATATCCCAGCAAGAACCTCTTCCCTATGTTTTGAAAGAATAACCTCCAAGAGCATTATGTATAATGTTTCAAGCATTACTTCATCAGGCATAGAATCAACACTAATTGAGTCATTCCTATACCCTGAGGGTTCTTCAAACTTTAGCATACGGGCAACACTGGATCGTGAATCTGCACCATGTTTCTTACCAAGGGGAGCTAGAAGAAGATGGTCTGGCCCAGGAGCAAAAGGATCAAACACGTTGTCTTTGGGCGTGCGAGGACTGTGACCATTTGAGGATATGATGTCACTCTGAGAACTTTTCAAGCAAAGAGCCCTTGGAAGACAAGAGGTTGAAGATGCAAAACCATTCGCGTATTCCCCATCCCCCTGCTTGGAATCAGGAGTTCCAGGGATTATGGAAGCAGTTGGTTTTGCGGGCAATTTCAACAACTCATCCGTAATCTGCTTATCCATTGTCAGACAGTGGACAAGGTCCAAATTTTCAAGGGCACGGTGCTGTGATAAGTTTTGCCCATTACTTAACAGATTGCAGTCAACCTTAGCATCCATGGACACAACACTCAAGAATAAATACCTGCATTTTCAATTAAGGAAACCTTAAGAACGGGGGAAATGGCAACTAAAAACCCCCTATGAAGACAAAAATAAGTGGAATATAAAAAATTGGACTTCCAGAGGAGAAAAAGATATTCTTATAAAAACACAGATAACAATGAGAATGCAACAATTTCTTTTTTAAAAACACAGATATAAATGAGAATGCAACAGTTACGACACTACAGACACACAAAAATACTTCCTCAAGACATCAAGTTGTCCAGTTACAATTCAGAAAAGTTACATGTTCACTAAATGTAACACAAAATTGCTCCATACAACATAAAATGTGATTCTTTTCACCCTTAACCTTTCAAATCCATATCACAATCCCATTTTAACAAATTATTTTTTCCTTCCTAGATGTTTCTCTAAAGCCGAAGCACGAATGCAACCCCACAAGGCGAGGGCTTGGGGAAGGATCCCACCACAAGGGTGTATAAGGGGCAAGACTTCCCTTGGCAGATTTGACAAGAAGCTACTCCCAAGACTTGAACCCGTAACCTCTCGGGGAAGCATTCACATATCTTTCTCTAATGCTAAAAAAATGCAATTGACGGTCACAAGATAGTAACCACTTATAGTATCTCATGGTCGTCAAGTAGAGGAAATGCTGCGTTTTGTGCTTTGAGTGATATGGATTTATAGAAATATATGGATTCACTACAGGTATAAAAAAGTATGTACGATTTCTTTGAATACTAAGTTACAAGCAAATTGCATTGCAGAGTGATGCATTTCTTCAGTTTGTAGTCTAATTTCACTTAAGTTGCTTATTTTCAGCAAAAATTGTCAGATAACTATTCTTCTACACTAGTTGATCTGCTACATGTCCTAAAATTTGTTCTTGAGAGTTTATATCAGTTTGGAAGATGAGATCTCAAAAGATTATGATTCAACTGTCTGAATGGGCACTTCATATAGAGGCGGGGATCATATACCTCACCCATGACAACCAAAACTTAAACAGAGAAAAAAGAACATAAAGGAAGGTAGAATGTGAGGATGAGAAAATGAACTACGGCTTTGAAATGGAAAGGCTGAAAAAACAATAAAACGAATTGTAATTTAAATTGGATTAACACATCAAATCATAACTTTTCTTAATTTTGAGTTTAGATTCATGAAAAATCTAATCTAGACAAGTTGATAAGCCAAACGTAGCAAACAAGAAAAAGTAAGTTAGAAATAGTGGAGTACCCAGAAGAAACATAAAGCTGCTGAAGTGTTCTCCTAAGCCCTAAGGTCGCTTACTCTCTTATATAAAAAAAAAACAGGACAAATACATCACGGTCAGATAGAGATAGAAACAGGATAAAAGTATATCCGTTCACTTAAATAGAGTGAGTCTAAGCTTGTATCTACACCGGAAAAAAAAGGAATGCCTTACGAAGATAAAATTAAGAGTGACAGCAAACGCCGCTGCTGAGACGCTGGCTCCGATCGAACGGTGGTGGCAGCAGACGCCAGCCGGAGAAGGTGACCGGAGCTTTTTCTGCGAATGGAGATTGGAGAGGGAGGGAAAATACGGAGCAAAGCGAGGGAGAGGGAAATCTTACCCGGCCCGGTTTTATACAGCTCATGCCATTATTGCCATTAGATGGAAGGGAAAATTGCCCGATACCCCTCAACTTTATCTGTAGTGAAAAACTGAAAACCCTTTTTTCATTTAAATGATTTACATCTGCTCTTAAATAGGAAAATATATAAATTGACCTAGAAAATAGAGTGCGATATGATCTGGTGGTAGGTGGGATTTCTCAACTGAGAAGTCCAAATCAAACTAATCCATTATATACGCAGTATTTTTTGTTGCACATTTTATAGTTATGCACTTTTACGTGAAAGTGTTTTTTTGTCTGTTACAGATATAACGTGTTTTGTCTGTCATACACTAAACAAGTTTAATTTGTGACAGATCAAAACAAACTTTCACAAATTATGTAAAAGTGATTAAATGGTAAAAGTGTGTACAAAAGACTTTTTTGCTCATCCCAAGTTCCTAATCGTGTCACGATGGCTATATTATATATTCATGATCAAATAACTAAAGTTGAAGTCAAAATCTTTTCAATTAATCTAGTTTTAGTATCAGATCATACTATACTAGATCAGATCAGGCAAGATCAAAATCGGACTGTTGTAAAATACACATAGATCATACATCTATCAGATCAAACTAGTCCGGAAAATGTATACTTACTTTTCTGCCTAAATTTGCTAAAGAGAAATATATATTTTAGTTATACTTTCATATAATGTAATCATTATTTTATTAATAAAATATAATTTTGTTTTCATTTCCTGATTTACGATAAGTCAATCTAGCCGCTTCCGTCATATTTCAAAAGTTTTACCCAATTCAGCCAATGTCAACATTACCGAAAGGCTCTAGATAACTTTTTAACATCTTACAACAAGTGCAATTAAATACTCCTTAATTTATATGTACCCTAATGTTGTTGTTGTTGTTGTTAGTGTCTTCACTTGTATTACGCCAGATTTCAATAACCACATGTAAATTAATGTATGATTACAACACGAACTTACAAAAATAAATATCAATATGACTGAATACTCATAACAGATACTACGTATACAAGTAACTAATATTGTATCAAACACTGTAGTTTTGTTGACTTTTTGCATACATCAAGCATAGAATAAGTTCGATTACATCATCATACAACAAACTCTATTTCATACCGACTCCATAATCTAGAGACCATAAATGCATGTTCACACACAAGAACAAATTGACGCGAAAATATATCAACGAAATGGATACTAAAAAATACATTGAAATGCTTATTTATGGGGGTATCAAAATTTTCTATTATACATGTAAATTTTTCATAAAATTCTCATAACTTTAATTATATATGTGTGTGTGTGTTTGTCCCTCTTGATTTAATTAATTTTCAAAATTGATATATATCCCTATATATTGTAATACTTAACAAGAGATGTAAGATTAGAAACATTTAAAGTAATTTATCTTGTCATGGATAGATAAATAATAGAACAAGCTTTCGACATATTTCAAAATTTCACCCGTTTGAGCCAATGTCAACATTATCAAACAAGCTTTGGATAACTTTTTAACATCTTATAACAAGTGCAATTAAATACTCTTTAATTTATATGTACCCTAATGTTGTTGTTATTACTGTCTTCACTTGTATGCACCAGATTACAATATCACATGTAAATTATTGTATGATTACAACACGAAATTACAAAAATAAATATCACATGACTGAATACTTATAATAGATACTACGTATACAAGTAACTAATATTGTAACAAACATTGTAGTTTTGTTGACTTTTTGCATAAAACAGTAAGCGTAGAATAAGTTCGATTACATCATTATACAACAAACTCTATTTCATACTGACCCCATAATCTAGAGACCATAAATGCATGTTCACACACAAGAACAAACTGATGTGAAAATATATCAACAAAATGGATACTAAAAAATATATTGAAATGCTTGTTTATGGGGATGTATCAAAATTTTCTATTATACATGTTATTTTTTCATAAAATTCACATAACTTTAATTATATGTATGTGTGTGTGTGCGCTTGTCCCTCTTGATTTAATTGCTTTTCAAAATTGATATATATCCCTATATATTGTAATACTTGATAGGAGATCGGTAAGATTAGAAACATTTAAAGTAATTTATCTTTTCATGGATAAATAAATAATAGAACAACTCATTGATTCCAGACATGGGATATCTACAAAAATCCTAGTTTTATAATGTTGAATTTATCTTTATTAGATAATTAATTCTCAACTTTGTCAAATATAAAACATTTATCCGATAATGTGACATGAATCTAAAATATTAGTGTTTGTGTGACATTAAAATTACATAATTCCTTTACTTATTACCTTTTTTTAAGAATTTACTACACAAATAATAAATTTTAACTTATTCTAGCATTAATACAAATATAATATAGCCATCTATATATGAGTTAGCAACATACTCTATCTTTCTATCTCATAAAACCTGGAAAAATTAACTTTCCTTGGTTAATTGTAATAAATTTTGAAGAAAGACTTTAGTTAGTATATTTGTGTTAAATTTAAAACTTTTATGAAAGTATTTTAACAAAGAACATTTTCATATAATTTTTATATTTTTAATAATTTCGTATTGAAAAATATTATTGTTCAAACTTGACCAACATTGACCAAGAAAAGTCAAAATGGTCAAGTTTTGTGATAGATGGAGTGAATAATATTGTTCTAAAAATAAATAATCTCATAAATGCTATTGTAATATTAAGAAAACTTTTCGTGTCTTATGGACATCTTTGGTAGACAAAAGTGTAATTCAAAAATCAATTCTTTATTTTGATAAGATTGATGCAATAAAAAATGCACAAGTTATTCTAAAAAATATTAGTGGAAGTGTACCTTTTAGACTCTTTAAATTAGCTTCAAATAGTTTAATAAAATTTCAACCTTTTTATTCATTAAAATTATATTATCAAATAAATTTTCTTTTGTTTTATCATTTCAACCTTTTTTAATATCATGAATGTTCTAATGGGATTTTCTTGAACAAAAGTAGGCAGCTCCCTACACTAGTGAAAACATTTCGCCCCGTTAACGTAGTAAAATTTAAATACAAATATAACTTATTTATTTTAGTTTGGAAAGTAGGTAGCATTCTCAAAGCTCTAAACTAACCTATTTTAATTTGGAGTTTCTCATATTTCTGATCAGATTAGTAGAAGTGTATGATTCAATTCTTATTTTTTACAAATTGTGAGTGCAATGTATTATTTAAAATCAAGGGTTATCATTTAATATGACTAAAGTTACTATCATAATACATTAAAGTTATTATTATAATCACTAAAATAAAAAGAGTCATTTTGTATCCTCTACCATCATTTTCATCACATATTTGTCAGTATTTCATTAAAACAATGACAAAAGTTTGCTCTATGTATAAAATTTTCAAAAATTCAAAAACAAAATATTCTTCTAAAATCTAAGATATATGCATAGTAGTAGTCAAAAGTACATCGTAACATTTCATACTTTCATAATAAAAGGTGTACTTTTCAATACTCTGTATAAAATATAAAAAATGAATGACATTACAAAGCAAGCACTTCAATAACTTCAAAATATGTGGCAATAGATGTCTAAATTGGTATGTGACTTTTACACGAAATTCATATAACTAAAATTGTTTGACGTGTTCATAGAGTCCAAAATCAAACCCATTGTGACTTGACTATCCTTTGTAGTTTGAGAATTGTTCACATCTATATTTGAGTTAGAATTTTACACATTAAATAGTACTATCCTTCGTATCGCATTAGTTGCAACATTGCAAATTACACACTATTTATGTACTCTACTTTGATTACATTTTTTTTTATTAATGTATGTGAATTATGTTTTTTGAAAAATATCGTTGAATTCGTCTCATTATAAAGTTTCATAATCTGGTTTTTAATTTTTTTTACTAATACAAAATTAAATATAATGACGGTCAAAGTTGTGCATTGGCAAACGTGAAAAAGTGAATGTTACAACTAAAAAAAGAACGGAGGAAGTACGCTTTTTATTTGCCTCTTGGCTTGTTCTCAAATACCATGAATGATGTTTCTTATGATGTTTCATCTAAGTTTAGATACCTGAAATATATAAATTGGGTAAAACAACTGACCACATAATGCATAAAACAATTAACTATCAAGGGCAAACAAAAAATCAGAAATGGAGAATTAGCTGCAGCAAATTGTTTTGTCAAGTTTATAGCTATGCATTAATACTAAGAAATTATTCAAAACGTGATAATAGAAAAAAGTAGCCTGAAACAAATTTCAATCATCATCATTAAAAGATCAAATAAAAAAGGTAAGTATGTTTTTACTTGGACTGAAATCTTCTGGTCTGATTTGATTAGGTATGGTCGGTTTGAACAAGCCGAATTCGGTAATTATCCGGTATCTGTGTATTTTATCACTATTCAAATCTGGTCTGAGTCTGAAAATAATCCAAGTAAAAACACCTAATTAGTGTTTACTATATATGAAAACCTAGACGAGTATAAATAAAGTATGTAATGCAGAGTAAGACAAGTTGACATTGAGCAGTGACATTGAAATTACAAATTGACATTGAGCAGTGACATTGAAAATAGATGATAAAATCATAGAAGTGCATCATGATCAAGTAGTTGCACTCATCCCACTAAGATATTTGCCAATGTCATTAATCAAATTATTTAAATACATCTTGATTTGGGTTCCAATTAGCCCAAACTCACTATACCAAATAAGAGCAATGAAGTTAATCAATAATGTGATTGTGTACAAAAATCCTACATTGCACGAAGATATGTTTGATTACCTCGTTTATTTAGACTTATGAGATAGTCATTGGAAGACAATATATGATATTGTTTTTTTTTTATTTAAGTTTTATGATGTAATCTGAGATGACTACCACATGCGGAAGGAAAAATGATATAATATTAGGGGGGTGTAATTACCTTAGATATTTTAGGTAATGTAAGAGTACCAATGTAATATTCTTACTTATAATAAATTTTGCATCAACAACTTCAATCTTTAAATATTGGGCACATGTTTCTATATCTTGAGTATCACACCCGGACAACTTTATTTGATTTTTTTCATGAAGTGCAACGGTATCCAGTGTAATAATTATGAGTAATCTTTTTGTTTGGTA